GAATTTTAAAGAGTGCATTTATTCTATTGTGGTTTATGCGCTATCGACGAAGTACATTTAATTCAATCAAATAAGTTTAAACGAAATGCAAGAAAAAATGCGTATAATTTAATATTCCTAAGAAAGTCATGTGGTGTACACATCAGTTGTTTTTTAATTATTATGCACTGTATTAAGCTATACTGTCACCATTCGTAGATGTTCTTCTGAGTATTTTAAAATGTCGTATTAATTATGAAAATCAGTTTCATGTTTCATCGCTAGATGGCTCTGATATCGTCAATGCATTATCCTAAGGCTACAATAATAGCGAAAAAAATTCTGCCTTTGTTTCATATGTTTTCAAATGCTCAAGGCATCTCGTTAGAAAGAATGAATATCGACCAATTAATTTTTTCTCCTCTTGATATTAAAGTTTTATGGTGTAAACCTTTTAACAAACAAAATCTAATTCATTAGCTTAAGATGAATATAGTTAGCAAGACTGGATTTAACCATTAAGCACTGTAAGCACGTGCTCATCACGGAAAGGGGTGACATAAAAAAGTTCTTAGGTAATCAAAAAAGGGGACACCAAAAATTTTCCCATTTCTGGTGTTACCATGTAATGCATGGTGCAGCTAAACCAAAACCAAAAAAGAGAGAAGGAATGGAAAAAAAAAAAAAAAAAAAAGCGTAAACATATGTAGAGGCAACTAAGTCCAAAACACTCGCCCTGATGATTAGTACTGCTAATTGTTTTAACCTGATGATTACCTACCTTATACGCTATATAATGTTCAGTGCATCATTATAATGAAAATATACAAAAGAAATTTGGTTAAAGTTACCAAAAAATTAATTACAGAAGTTCCATTAACTAGTTATAAGAAACATAAAATTATGTAAAACAGTTTCAGTTACAAAATGAAATTTTACGTGCATTAATATTGTGCTTCAGACTTTTATATTTCCTTTTTGGTAATTCATTTAATATATTAAGTAAAGTAAGTAAGTAATAATAGTAGATCAAGTAATTAAGTAAGTTTTAACTAGATTCTATTGACATTCCACAGAATGTTATATAAGAAAATGACACGTTATTTTACAAGAGATATTAAATAAGGGTTAAATGAGAATAATTGTTGGTTGAGTTTTCAAGCTATTCTCTGACATATATGTGCTTGACAAATGGCAATTTGCATCAGGACTGCTCTTTGGGGATCGAGCGCCTGCGTGCAATTTTTTTTTTTTTTTTTTTTTTTTTTGTTGGTGCGCCTAAAATTTGCGCACCAGAAGCGGATGATTTCTGATCATCAATAACAAGTGGCTTATATTAAGCTTGATATTTCTTAGGGATGGATTCTGAGTAGAACAAATTTCTTAAAGATCTACTAGTTTTCCCTTTTCTACGTCCGTTTACAGTCGGCTGGTTTTTATATTTGGCTCTGGATAATTTTTTGTTCTTGCCCCGCCACTCATTTCTAAATAGGGTAAAAAATTTTTTAAATTATCCATTTGTGATGTGTCAGCACTCTCGACAAGACAACACCCAGGTTTCACAATTATGCAGTTATTTTGTTTATTTTTATTAATATAATTTAGTTAGAAAAATAACTTAATGTATTTCCCTAAATATTAATTTGTAATGCATATTCACTTGTAATACTTTATTTAATGTCTAACAAAAACAATTTTGAAGATAAGAACAATTTCGCGCGAATACAAGATTACTCACTATGACAACCAAACGGAAATAGGTCAGAATTGCAGTGTCTTAGAACAGTGCCTCCTACGAAAAGTTGGCACCACACTCTGCATCCTTCCGGGAGAGTTGTAGGGATAAACCGCCCAATGACATTCGCGTCTACTAAGTACTACTCACAATTAAGGGGGTTCATAATTCCCTTTCGTGTTCCCTCAACTGCGAAATGTATTGAAATATTAGCTCGGAAAAAATTCCTTTGTACTCCCTAGTCTCTTATCTGAAAATTAAAAAAAGCGACCCAGTAGAGGGAAAGGCTTAAAATCAGTAGTTATCTTTGCAATCCCAGTTGGAGGTAGAAATGCATTCCTATTTCGGTCTTTTTTGGCCTTTGTCCAAAAGCAAGCTCCAAAGGCAAAGTTCCACATTTGGCCTACGGACAAAAAATGGCCTTTTGAACAAAAAAGTCATTATATAATGTATTTGTCCTTTGCACAAGTAACAGGATACAGACCGAATTTGGTGGCCCTACATTTTAGCGCCTGCGTATAGGCATTCGCTGCATACCTGCCAGGAACGGCCCTGATATGTATCCTTTTATTTCCGTGATCATGGCAATTTCCATATCGCAGTATGAAATACAAGTTAGGCTTCAGGGGGGATTTATAATATGGAAGAAACCTCAAATCATAGCCCGCGGGCCATATTTTCTTCACCAAACATTTCGGGGGCCAAGAAGGTTGATAAATGAAAAGTCAGTTTTATGTTAATTAAAAAATATTTTATTTATACTAAAAAGAAAACTTTAAAATATTCGTAATATATTAATGAGAACAATGTGGCCGTAATTGTTTAACAACAATATCTTTTATGGCCACATCAATATTTGTTGTGGCAAGTCTAATTATATCTTCAAGAGTGGAATCTTTCACACTGTTTCTATATTTTGACTTTATATATTTCATATCGGAGTATGCACGCTCGCATCCAAACATTGATACAATTTGAAGTCCAAAAATCTCTCAATTTTGGATATTTCTCTTTATCTAAATATTTGAAGATTCCTATTCCAGTTACTCCACGAGATGTAAAAAATGGGTCAGCCTGTAGGTCGCATAATTCTATTTGATATTTAAGATCACGGAGTTGATATCAATATTGATTGGATCACAAAATAAATCAATAGACGGTTAAAAAATCATCAAATTGAGAAAATCTTTCATTGAAATCTGTAATTAGCATATGCAATTTTGGTAGAAATATTTTAAAATTCTCTTCTATATTACATTCCTTCATTTCTTCATAGATCTCTTTGCAAGTTTTAAAATGAAATAAATTATTTTGCTCCAAATTAAACCTTAACAATTTTAATTTTTTTCTAAATTCAGTAACATATTTTTAAAGGCAACACACATTTTGATCTTGTCCTTGCAAGGATTTATTCAAAATATTTAAATAATTTGTAATGTTCGTTAGGAAAGCAAGTGAATAAATAAAATTTTTATCAATTAAATTTGATGTCAAATTTTCATCGACGGCAATTTCTGTGAGAAAAAGATGACTTCTTTTCGAAGTGTACAGAATCTTTTCAAGCACTTTACAGCACTTAACCAACGAACGTTACTATGTAAAAGCAGATCTCCATACTCAGTTTCCAATTCATCCAAAAATGTTTTAAATTTTCGGTGTGTAAGAGAACGATTTCCGCCGCGAATTAAATTAGTAATTTAATTGTCCATTATGTCTTTTAGTTGTAGGGATAAACCGCATAATGCCTCCTGATGGATAATACAGTGTAACTTACGACGTTATTTCTTCCTTTTGCAAAAGTCCCCGCGAGCCCAATATTTTTGCTCGTCATAGCTCTAGCACCGTCGGTTGCAATAGCAGTGCACTTGTCAAATCCGCCATACTGCTCTACTGAACATTTTAATTGTTTGTAAATATCTTCACCTTTTGTTGTTCCGCGTAATGATTGTAATTTTAAAAGTTCTTCTGAATAATTATAGTTTTCATTTACAGTTCTTATAAAGATATTGACTTGTATCGGAAATGTCTGTGCTTTCATTCAGTGCTACCGAAAAATAGCAGCAACTATTGATTAGGTTTTCTAATTTATTAGTGACATGCATGCTAATCTCGTTTACACGTCGGCTTATAGTCTGGTGAGAAAGTGACACTGTTTGAAATTTTCTTACCATTTCGTTGTCATTAAATGCTTGAGCCATTTTTATGTCCCATTTTTTAATGAATTCTCCATCCAAAAATGGCTTTTTTGCCTTTACTATTTTTAAACAAACTTCAAACAATGCAGCTACATACAGATACTTCTTGAAATTTTGGTTCTTGATTAAAATAAATCGTTTGATGATCCAGCTGCTTTTTCATTTTCCCCTAGTGGTATTTTCATGTCTCGCGTGTACGAATGATACTTTTTTTCATGCATGGAAAGATAATGGAGCTTCAAGTTATATTCTTTACACACAGCTATGATTTGTAAACATTCAAACACTGTGGTTTACCATTCTTGTTCAGAATAAATAAATAGATTATCTCCCAGCGATCTTGAAATTCTCGATTTTCGAGGTCTATTTTTCTTTTATTAGTAGCCCTCATATTCAATAATTATTTTAATTAATAAATAAATATGAAATTATGTTAATGATATTCTAACACAGTCACCCCTCAACAAATTCTAGACAAGACTGCACTCGCACGATTGCATGAATCAACCAAATAGCGCAGGGTAGTGTACGCACCACGTGCGCCAACCATAGATAAACAACAACCAACCACAAATATAATACGTGGCGCCAACGTTGAGCCAACCATCATCAGACGTTAAACGGATTGCTGCTGTATTCAGCCAGGTTAAGTGAAGTTACGCAAACTAAATAGTCCCTACTTTAAATTCAAATTAGATTTAAATTTTCACATAATAAAATAATTTTAATATTAATAATAATAATTTAGTAACATAAATTTATTTATGGTAAAATGTACTCGCGGGCCGTAAAAATAATTTGGCTGGCCGCCAGTTGGACAGCCCTGAATTAAATGATGTTTAACAATAAAGCTAAAGAGACAAAAAGAAATGGCTTAGCAGAGTGCAACGGCAGACTGGTAGACTGTGAGCTCAACAACAGTGTTAAAATTTGAACCTCTTTAATTTTTTTAAAAGATTTTGTTTCTCTGTTATTTTTGGAAATACTTGTATATTTATTACGCCCTGCTAAAACATGTTTGGTTATTATAATATTAAGAAATTAAAAATTTCATAACAAATTTACCATTAAAATAAATATTTCTTTTTTACCTTCTGGTAACTCCAAATCATCATTTATATTAGCAAAGTCTTCATTTACATCCATTGCTTTTGGCTGCTTTGGAGATGACGCCAAATCAAAATTTCCACAAATAAAGCTTCCATTGATATCTCTTGCTTTTTGTTGCTTACGAAGCTCCTTCTTTGAAATCTCATGGATGAACGGAGGCTTCCTCTTAGAGAGGGATTCATCTGGATAGTTGAAAATTGTTGGAATAGCATCAGGTTTCAGCCACGTTCCACCAAATTTCAATCTATCAAAACTGTCACTGGTAAAATGGTATGAACATAGTTTAGAATATGCTGTTGACGTGAAGTTTGCTCTTCTTATTTTCGCTTCCCATATTTTTCTCAGTGTTTTATTCTTTGGAAAGCTAAAAATTAAGACAAAAAATACTTTTTCAAATCAGTGCGACGAAAATAGGGATGAACATAAATTTTGAGTAACAAGAAAAACAGCTAATAGCCACTAATAAACAAAACTGCAAAATATAAAATAAAACAAAACAAAAAAGATAATGTAAAACCATACTAAAGAAATAAAATGTAAAAAGAGTTTTTATTTTTAGTATTGGACTTTTAGATAGAACATTTTTGTTAGTTTACTTTAATTAAATAAAAAAATAAATTTTCCCGAAGTGCAGTAAATACAAAAAAATGGCACGGAAAAACTGCGTTCAACAGAATCTTTATAAGGCTATCGCCTGTCTGTCTAAGATTATAAAAGGTGAAAATCAACTGGAACCACGAGTTCTAAGATTAAGAGTTCTAAGATTCGTTTTAAGATTCATTCACGAATTATTTTCATTAAATATGAATTGCACTGATATAGTTCTATGAAAGAAGGTTACTGCCAAAGAGGACGAGGCAACGTTTCAATATATTTATGGAAATAAAAAGTTTTTATGCAATCCTTTACCTAAGTTTTTTACACTGTATTGAAAAATTCCTCAACTGATTACCAGTGACGTGGATGATATTATAAAAAGAAAAGCTAAGACAATAATCCTATTGAGAACTAGAAACGTATGAGATAATACGATAGTTTTTTTTTTTTAGTCCAAAGGGGGAATTTGCCCAGAAGGACTATTAATTTCGTTTTGGCATTTTGCGTTGATTCACTACAAGCGTCGTTTCCTTTTTCAACCAAATATTATCGGCACCATATATTATAACCAATAATGCCACCAAATATTATCGCCCTGTATTATATTTAAAGAAATTAATGAATGAAGAATCTGCATAAATGTATGTATGTTTCTCGCACTGCGGATAAAACAACGGTACCTAGAGCCATCCAATTTTGAATAACGTAATCCTCCTGCGAATATGGGTATCTGGAAGCCCAAATTTGAAATCTGGAATTTGCTACTTCCTTGTACACAGTAAAAAGGAAGTATTGTAATCGCGAAAAGTTTCAGGCAGCACATTTCAACGAAAATATCCATTTTGACCGCTATCGAATGCAATTTAACGATGCTTTTGCGTGACATCTGTACGTAAGGACAGAATAAAAGACTCTTTTCCTCCAAATGGATTGGATTTAGAAGATATTTTTTCTGACGACTGTACGTACGTATCTCGCATAACTCAAAAACGAGTACCCTCACAACGTTGAAATTTTGTGTATAGGACTGCTATAACATGTGGATGTGCACCTCGTATTTTGGTTGCAACCGGCTGCACCAAATGTATATAAATATATATATATGCTCTTTGTTACCCGGATCAGTGATCTCAGTTTCTTTACTATTATATGTTTGTAAATTGTGCATTTTTTGCTTTAAAAAATGATTGAATTATGTTATTCTTATCTTCTATTATTATCTATATAAGGTTTTTATGCCTTTAGAAAATGAACATGCAATATCTTTAGAGTATCAACAATTTAAAAGTTGTTTAGGTACGGCTAAGACTAATTATTTTCGCGATGGCGGCCATGCTTATTTAGCATTTGAAACTTGGCAGAATAACGGATTTGTTGCCAATCTAGAGAAACTAAGCTTCGCAACAACAAAGATAACGCCTTCTTTTATTATTGCGAGTTAAATCATGCTTAATCCATTGAGCAATGGAAACGTTGTACAGAGAAAACATTTTTATCTCCAGCGCGTGAGACTGTGTATCGGAAAATCTAAAGATATGCTCATTTCAAAATTATTTTTCGATATTGCTGTTGAACTGAATTTTATGGTTTATGATATTTAATAAATAAAGGTAACACATAAACCGTAAAAAAAAACGCCCCTTTGGACATAATTTAAAATTTGGATCCTTTCAGATATTTTTTTTTTTTTTTTTTAAATTTTACATTTTAATTACTTGCACTTTTAGTAGCCCATTTCAATTGTAGCATCAATAAATTTCTTTATGTGTTTCACTAAATTTTATCTATAAAGCACATTCAATGGTTTGAAATTTTTGTATGAAATTTAGTTTATTAAATTATTTTATGAAAGGTTGAAATTCGACCTTTTTTAGAAGGGGGGGGAAGAATAATATTTCTTTATTAACTTATATATAAATAGAAAAATATAAAGGCTTTAAAGAGAAATTCTGAAGTTTATTGTATGAAAATATGTTTAAAAATTGTGTCACTGACGAAAAGTACTTATTCATTGAAAATAAACAGCATTTCCGTTCATACTTCCCCCGTTTTTCATGCATAAAGCTGTAATCATGTAATATCAAATTATGTAATCATAAATATTGTAAATTAATGCTTTAAAACTAGAAAAATAAAGCAAAATTCTTTATCATATACATATGACTTAGGACTCTGTAGTATGTAGAAAATTCGCATCTTTTTTAAAATTAAAATAAAGGATGGAAAATATTGTTGCGTGCGTACGGGTTCGTTACGAAATGAATGCACAAGTCCGATGAAAAATGAACAAAAATTTATTATTATCACAACAAAAATGCTTAAATTTTCTCAAATTATCATGCAGTATTACAATATCTCACAGTAGTTATCTTTTAACTACTCAAATATCCAATAGAACGTAATTCAAAACAGCTAAAGAACGCTAATCCGCGAATTCGCTACAATCAACAACAGTAGTTTTCTAAACAACAACAAACTAAGCAACTACTACAAACTGAGATGTTTTCCTCCTTTTATAAGATTTTAAAATCACGCGCTAGAATTTTCCAGTACTTTCTCGAAATCAAAAAGAGATATTTATTTATTTAATGCACGCGCTCTTGTATTTTCAATTTTCCGGCTTAGCTCTCTTTTAATATTCGTCACGCGCTGCACTGCGCGAGAAATAAAACCATTTAATTTATAATTGAACTAACATTAGCTTTTTAAATACCAAATTCGTAACAATATATTGTGGAGAGAAAAATCATCTTAAAATTCCTAGTCCTGAAACAAAATTATCATAAAAAACGACTCTAAATAAATATTGACAAAAAATACTATTATTTTTAATTCTCTAAGTCAGTATTTCTCAATCTCTGGTCTGCGGGACCACAAGTGGTCCTCAAAAGCCTGCTATTGTGGTCTCCTAGATTTAAGTACTTTTTCCAGAGAACTGACCAAAGAAATCAAAATTATTTCTAATATAAATTCCCCGACTGAAAAGAACTTTCTGTACTGCAAATTTTCACATCGCGAAGAGCAGGACACCAGTTACAAACGATGTAATTAAAACAATGTTTAAGGGAAAATTATCTAATGACATTGATTTAATGTCTCTTCCTCAAACGATTCATTTACACGCCGAATCTATGACATGGCCAACAAAGCAGTATATGGACTTATTAGTAGAATAAAAGTACAGTGGAACTTCGAGATACGAGTTTAATTCGTTCCAGCATTGAGCTCGCATAGCGAATTTCTCGTATCTAGAAGCAAACTTTCCCCATTGAAAATAATGGAAATCCAGTTAATCCGTTCCACACCCAAAAAATATCAACATAAAAATCAATTTTTCTAATAAATAACACTAGTAATACTGCAACCGTAGTTTACATTTATAGATAGCTTCCGACACTGACCTTTTAACTGCTTCTTATTAATTCACATCAACAACAGCTTCTACGAGTTTTGGACGGTGCTTGGAAGTAACAGTAACTCCTTTGGCTACATCAAGTTCCTTAATTTCTTCCTTCTTCCTCAAAATAGAGCTGATCGTCGATGTCGAAAGGCCGTAAGTCTTCGCCAATTCCATCACTCTTACACCACGCTTATGTTTATCTATGATTTCTTTTCTTAATTTCAACGGTCATGGCTTCCTTCCTTTTCTTTGCCGTACTATTTGAGGCAACAATCTTCTTCAGAGGCATCGTGAAATAATTATTTCCACATTAAATGTGAAAAATAATTAATTGACAATCGTATAAACACATAGATAAAAGAACACTGAGTGATTTTACAAAGGGATTCCCCGAGTCGAGCCGGATCGGGAAATGGCGCCACGCATACCAACAGCCTGACTCATTGCTCGTTACTCGAGACAATGTACTCAGAGACAAATGTTTCGCTCATACTTTCCTCGTATCTCGAATTTTTCATATAGAGGTGCTCGTATCTCGAAGTGCCACTGTATATTTTATGCCACTCTGACAGATGTGACATAAGGCGTTTTGAATGATGCACATTTGATTTGTTATATCAAGTTTGAGTTTAATAATGACGTTCATAAAAGTAAAAATAGGATTTCTTAGAAGATTCTACCAACTCGTACAATTAAGAAACAAATTTTTAAAAAATTAAAAGAGTACGAAGAAAAGCATGAAACTGACTGGAATATTGTTTAGGTTTTTGTTCGCATGGAGCTTGAGCGCTCAGGTAGGCTTAGTGACATTGTAGCTAAAATTAGAGCTGTGGCACCTGATGTTATCTGGACTTACTGTTTCATTCACAGTAAATCAGAAAAAGGAAAGGAAAGATTTAGCGGCCAAAGGTGCATTATCTAAATTGAAATGAAAGTAACGAAACAGCATTAATTGCAATTACTTCTGAAATCTGAGGCACACAGGCTCAAATCGTTTTTGTGATTCCTCAAAATTATCCCTTAAGCCTCTTGCATGCTTATTCCACGGCATGCAAGTCGTATATTTGTTGTCTTCAAATTTTACGAATTCTCGAAACTTTTTAAAGGTAACATCGTCTTCTAAATTGTGACAGTCATCAGATTTATTAGAAATTCCCAAAGTTTTCAACTGTCATAAATTCCTCATCAATTGAGATGTCGAATCAACGTCTAAATTAGTTTTAAATTGTATCAAATTCTGTATGATATTAAATATGTCTGATGCATAACATGCGTTTTCTGTTCCGTCCACAGACCACTTAGTTTAGCTTCTACCACTACTATAATTTTGAAATTGAACAGACCCTTCCTGTAAAGTGTAAAGCATC